TGGGCGAAGCTCGCATCGTTGCTCTTTGCACCCCATAACAACTGGTCAGAGATCAGCTGTCCCCAACCCAGTCCCAATCATTGGCTACGTCCCAAATGGCACCCTATTCCCTATATAGTGCACTACTTTAGACCAGAGACCATAGGGCTCTATATAGGGCACTACTTTAGACCAGAGACCATAGGGTTCTATATAGTGCACTACTTTAGACCAGAGACCATAGGGCTCTATATAGGGCACTACTATTGACCAGAGACCATAGGGTTCTATATAGTGCACTACTTTAGACCAGAGACCATAGGGTTCTATATAGTGCACTACTTTAGACCAGAGACCATAGGGTTCTATATAGTGCACTACTTTAGACCAGAGACCATAGGGCTCTATAGGGAATAGGGTGCTGTTTGGGACACAAGCCTTCGGACTTCAAAGCTCTTGTTTGAATATTTGCTACTACCACCAGGATCTCTCCTTACACATACTCACTGTGTCTAGCACCTCACATCCACAGAATATATTATACTATACCTGGTATAGTATTAACAGGGTATTATACAGATGATCTGTTCTATAAGACATAGCTGCATTTCTGCTTCTGTCTAGACAGGGAGAGGTTTATCCATGCCACGCTACTGTGTTAAATGCAACGCTGGCTTGGCTTCGGCTGATGCCCGTTCCACCTGTATGATGTGCCTTGGCTTAGAGCACGCCATTCAGGCTGTGGATCCCCACCTTCAGTTGAATGTGTTGTGCTACTCTCGGCCCACAGCTATGTGAAGCACGGTTAGCTATGATGAAGGAGGCAAATGCTAGAGGCTCTGGTAGCGGACTCAGGCGTAAACAACCCTCCTCACCGCCAAGCAGTCCAAGAAGGACAGGATACCCTCTCTGGATGAGATAGAGGCTCAGCCCGACAGGCTCCGTTGAAGACTTAAGACAGGATCCTGATGCTATCTCCATCCTTGCTTGTAGTGACCTAAAGGAAGAGACCACTGAGGCCGGTTCTGAGTCAACGAGCCACGGCTCAGAGAGCGCTGAGAGTGAAGCGCCCTGTTCATCAGCTGATATACAGGAGATCCTCTCTAGGGTTCTGATATACAGGAGATCCTCTCTAGGGTTCTGATATACAGGAGATCCTCTCTAGGGTTCTGAGATGCAGGAGATCCTCTCTAGGGTATAGAGAGTTCATTCCTCAGAGTACATTCCTCAGAGAGTACATTCCTCAGAGAGTACATTCCTCAGAGAGTACATTCCTCAAGTGGTACATTCCTCAGAGTACATTCCTCAGAGAGTACATTCCTCAGAGAGTACATTCCTCAGAGAGTACATTCCTCAGAGTGTACATTCCTCAGAGAGTACATTCCTCAGAGAGTACATTCCTCAGAGAGTACATTCCTCAGAGAGACACTACTTCCCAGAGTGTACATTCCTCAGAGAGTACATTCCTCAGAGAGTACATTCCCTCAGAGTGTACATTCTCAGAGAGTACATTCTTCAGAGTACATTCCTCAGGTTACACTCAGGTGTACATTCCTCAGAGAGTACATTCCTCAGAGAGTACATTCCTCAGAGAGTACATTCCTCAGAGAGTACATTCCTCAGAGAGTACATTCCTCAGAGAGTACATTCTTCAGAGTACATTCCTCAGAGAGTACATTCCTCAGAGAGTACATTCCTCGGAGAGTACATTCCTCAGAGAGTACATTCCTCAGAGAGTACATTCCTCAGAGAGTACATTCCTCAGAGAGTACATTCCTCAGAGAGTACATTCCTCAGAGAGTACATTCCTCAGAGAGTACATTCCTCAGAGAGTACATTCCTCTGTGCCCCAAGTTCTCCAATTAACTGCATCAAACTTGGTCTAAGGTGAACTCAAGGTTCCATGTCTCAAGCCAGTGCAAGCCTTGAACCTTCATGGCTTCCCC